CAATTATTTTTTTTTTGTCAGATTAGGCGAATCCCTCTAGATAATCGTCAGATTATAAGACAGCAGCACGTCTAGAACATGAATGAACCATATATATCTTAATCTGACGTGCTAAAGTATTTCAAAATGGCGAATTTTTTTGCACATTTTAATAATGGCCGCGAGTTTGCGTCAGATCGAAATCGTCAGATTATTGAATGAGGGCTTTTTTTGTTGCACTTAACACTCCTTTAGAAAATCTGACGCGCTCGATTAATTTTTTTTTTCACTTTTAACCCTTACGTATAACCACCCGCATCATGCAAACGATCAGATTCACATACGAAATGTATTTAAAATACGTAGGACCAAGGCCGTAGCGAAAAGAAATACTAGGGGGGGAAGGAATCCAAATTTTCCCAACCTCACAAGCAAAATTTCCCAACTTTCGAAAGCCAAGGGATAGTTACAACGATAATATATTAATTTTCTTACTTAGCTATCCAAAGATTGGCTGAATGCTTATGCCCGTTAGGGTATGCACAAACAAAAATAAAATTTGTTAGTTATAAAAATAATGGGAATTATTCTACATTGGACCAAGACCCTTGGTCTTCCACCATATCCACCATGTATAGGAATATTCAATTCAAATGAAAGGAAACAACACTTAAATAATATTGTGCTGATTGTTTTCTACTATTATTTTTTCTATCTTCACCATNATTATCTTCTCACTGGTTCGGCATTACGCTATCTCTCTCGCCATACTGAGCTCGGGTACCTATAGTGCACATTGTTGAGTTTACTACAGTATACTTAACGTGTGTTTTACTGAATAAATAATTTAAAGAAATAATTATAAACATAAAATATGTCTGACAGTAATAATTTAGAGAGTGAGCAGCCTCCAGCAAAGATAGCCAAATCACATTATGACACACTATTAAGTCATCAGTAAGTTAATTATATTGTATAATTAAAGTGTATATTTATCTGTGCATTAAGCCCACATATTTTTGGTCGGTCTCAAGGGTCAGTAAATGTAAAATCTACTCTCTTGGTAGATCAAAATATACTTAATTTTCATAGCATATATTATTTTTAAATTATGAAGACAAGAGAATTGAAACTTTCTATGTTTTTTTACCACTTTTATTTGTAAATAACGTTACTGCAGTTTCGTCCTATAATAACATTTTCAAACTTGTATATTAAATTGCAAATGATTGATTACATTAGTCCTTATGTAACACAACTGTAGGTAATAATAGAGGTACCTACTTAGCTTAATTGAGTACCTGAATTTTGTTTACTAGTGACAATATGGATAGGCTAATTTGAAAACTGGTGAGTAAACTATATCCATTTGATCATTTAACAGGTTACATAAACATTCCGGACAATATTCACCTCACTTGAAAACTCCAAGACCAATATCGTCTAACTCTAATGGTCGAGGAGAACTACATCAGGCTTGAATGAAATGAATAAAAACACTTTTGTCTAAATACCACTGGTAGATTTTATTTTATAAAGTTTACCAGTGGTAGACAATAGTGTTTTTATTCATTTCATTTGAGTGGTCATGAATAACCATAAAGTAAACAAGTCATCAATCACACATATTACATAAGACTTATTAGCTTATATCAGCTTGAGAGTGGAGAATAAATTCCCCACAATGGATTCAATATTGATATATATTATTATTATGATGAAGAGAGTTGAGCCCAGTGCTGTCTTGTGTTAAATCATGTATACCTACTTTGTTTTTGGACTTTGGTTTCAACCAGTTACCTTGCAGTGAAAGCTGCTGTAGAAAACAGGATGAATCTCGTTTCACGGTCAATGTTGGAGCTTGGATTTGCAAGACAACTCTTTCGACAATAAATAATATTTATTAATATTATTTATTATTAGGACAATTGAGTCTGTTGTGGAATTGGCCACGGTGGTAATGCGCCCGACTCTAGATAATTTATCTGGTTGAAGCTGGGATGGTTCTGCAACCGTGTTAGGAATCACACGTTAGAAGGTAAGACCTCGTTAGTCCTCAGCTCGCACAAGTTTCTCAACTTCTGAGAGTTGTCGTTCGTAGGGGGGCGACAGCTGATTAACAGAAAAACTGATTTTAAACAGATTTTTAAACAGTTCAGCCCTGAACCGCTGATGAGACATATGGCGGGTCTATACAGAACTGTCTGGTGTTTGATCACGAATGCTTTATTTTTGAGATGAGGTTTCAAATATGCATAATCGACAGTATAAACTATTATAAATAATCTAGTTGTTGATAATTGAAGCAATATATTAGTAGTTGAGGTGGTTGTCTTAAGTTTTTGGATAATCCACTTCTTATTGGTGAAAAATATTTATTGAATTTTTCTACAGACTTGTTAGTTGAAAGTGTTTCATTTTATTCTATCATGGTGATTTTCTGTAGTTTAGATACCTATTCATTTCATTTCAGTTACTGACTCTCGACGCCCTTTTCGTCAATCATTTAGCATCATCTTCTGCTGTGCCGTTTCTCTGGTGTGAGAAAAAGTTTGCAATACAATCATTCGTTTCAGTGGTTTCAATTCTACCTATCAAGTTTAGGTTTTGTTTAATCTTTTTTTGTGTACACAATTTGTCACATTTTCTTAGTATTATTTGTGAGAGGGCAGTTGGTTCATCATATATATGATATTTCTATTTAGAATTTTTTTGTAAGTTTTGTTCATCTACAATTCGGTGAGAATCTCTGAATTCTGAATATTTTCTTTGTTATTTCGGCAGTATAAGGAGTATGGGGGAATCGGAATCATTGGGAAATCAGAACAACTCTGGTTCAAAATGTATCTGAACATGTTAGATCCTGTTCAAATTGAAAGAAGTATATTTTTGGGAGGTCTTAGTTTTTAGGAAAGAAAGGTTTTGGCTTTCTACTAGTGTATCTTTATACAAAAAAATATGGGAAACTTCCAAAGGAAAAACAGACAGCAAGAAATTCAAAATAAACTCTTTATAGAGATGTGTAGATCATACGTAGGAGTTACTTTCAGATACAAACTGAAAAAAAACTCTCAAAAACAACTACTTCCATAAAAACATAGAATTACACAAAAGAAAAAATACTTGCAAGACAATTACTTTCATATGAACATTGAATTAGACAACAATCCCTTTTTCCTATTCAGTTTAGAGTATCAAACATGTAACATAGTTTGATGAGATTTGTGTTGGAGTTATCGTCATTTTAAAGCCATGACATTCCAGGAAACCCATGTTTAAAGAATTCTGACATGAATGTCAACGTTAAAATCATCACATATAATAATTTTATTTTGTTCACTTCAATGTAGCTACAGAGTTCACTTAAGTTGAAAAGAAAATCTGATCAAACACTTGAATTATTTAAAGGATACATTGAAATTTTTAGCCCTATTACTTTTACTCTGTAACATTAAAATTTATGCGAGATCTAAGGATATAATTATAATAACATTTGGCAATAATATAAGTAATACAATTTAACATCAATACATCATGAGGGAGAGTAATTATTTAATGAAGAATAAATATGATGAACCTACAGAAGAGAAAATCTGTGTGTAGGTAAATAACGAATTAACGTTTATTGCTGGATAATGTTATGATACTGAAGAGAATGTGCTATTGATAGTAATAATAACAATGCTAGGACTGGTAAAAAGGTAAATTAATAATTCTTAGTTAATTCATCAGTTTATGCATTTCCAATCTTGGAATGCTACTGATCCATTTTTTAATACAAGTGACAACCTTCTGAATTCACTGATTCATAAGGTTGTACCTTCTCTTCGGTAAAAGAGTAAACCCTCTAGGAGCTGATCTTGACTTTTGCTATCAAACGCTTTTTTTCAGGTCGAAGAGTATACATGTACTAATGATAAAATGTCACCTCTACTATATGGCCAATTCGACAATTAGTTCTTTATTCACTCTTTGCAAAACAGGCAATTTTCCCAATCACCAGATAGGTACTATTCTCAACGTGCATTTTAGCAACCAAGTTGGCGTCTTTAGGAGACGAAGACGTATAACGTATTTCATGTCTGGTGATTAAAAAGTACTTGTATAGGATTTGATCTACCCCAGTTTTACCTTCCGTCATACACTCTTTCGCAAACGCCTCTGATAAAAAATTGAGGTTTATCAATGAAAATAGAAAAATATTTGGCCAATGCGCCAAAGAAGGAGCGATTGCCAAAAAAACATGATAGAGAAGAAGAAAAATGTTTTTATAGGACAGATGTAAGAAAAAAAAAACACTCATTTTTAAAAATTTTTATACATAAAACAATTTGATAAATACAAATTATTTTTATACATATAAATATAGCTACAATGCAATATGTAGTTAGCAATGCAAACCTTACCTAATGACTAGAATACTGACAGAATCAAGTCTTCATTCATTTAATAGCTAATGTAGTGTGCAGCAAAAAGCATGGAGTATTTCTACTACTTGCAACACTTAAAAAAGAAATCACATCTGTTACATTCACACCATATTTATGAATATGGACAAGGTGCTTTTTTAGACAAAATACACAAGTGAGACAGTAAGAGGATGTATCTCAATTATATTTTCTTGATAAGAGATTTTATTGGTTGAGTGGAAGATTCATTATTGACTACACTGAGCTGCACATTTTTCTAAGAAGTAAGTTTCAAATGAGAAATTAAATGTTCGTTACCTCTTACTGACATGATTCTTTTCTCTCTCAGCTCCCAAAAGGATTTTTCGTGAGAAAAGTGATTCAAAATAGTGCAGAAATGGCAAAACTTTAGAATAATGAATGTTTGATACCTGACCTAATGAATACTTGTTTTAGGACAAATACTGTTATTACATTGGTCAATATCATACTTTTAAGTACGTTATCCGATTACTATATATTCTTAAAAAACACTGAGGTATAAAATTATTACAAATAGGTACAAAATCGATATTATGTAAAATTTCACGAATTGAGTATTTTCCTAAATAAACAATGGTATGAAAATGAATATACCAACTTAACGAATATTAACGTCACTTAAAAAAATAAGGTATGTAACAAATTGTGCATAATTATAAACAATTCAACTAAATATACCACTTGAAAAGCTTTCAAAATCACAATCAGGATCAGTATAACATAAGTCCAAGTCAGATACAAAAATAAAATTTAAATGCTACATAATTATATACAAAACCTCAATAAAATAGAATAACTAACTAAACAACATAAAATTTACATATTAAAAACATTTGTACACTGAAAAATGGGCAATTTTCATTTTTTGCAGCATTTTCAATTCGAGGAGGAGTCTGCCTTGAGAGTTTTACATCTTTCCTTTTCTTGATTGTTGTCAGGCGGTTCACATTCGAAACTGGCTAATGCTAAAGCATTCTCGTTTAAAACAGGACCGTGTTGAAGAAGGTTGATGATTTTTGAGTCCTTCTCAAAAGGACATGTTACTTGTTTCCATGCCATGAATTCCGTTACTTGCTTGGCCAACTGCCAAAATTTTTCGAAATTTATATGTCCATTGGGAAGCCTGAAAAAAAAAATGAACTTTGGCTAATAGCAATACTATTATGAACTGAATACAATGAGCGGTTATATATACGATCTGTGATAGAACTGCTTATCTATTATTCCTGTTCTGAAAATACCCTAATATTTTCTCTTTCCTTTCTTTCAAACTTCTTCTCCCACGATAAAAGAGTTCGGTTTACAATAATAGAGATTAACTAGCTAATCATCAAACATGAAGTTTGATATTTCGTATTAAGAATAATTTTTTGAAAAACAATTCAATGTTTATATGAAAGTAGCTGATTCAGGGGGACTTTCTTTCAGTTTGTGTCTGAAAGTTACTTCTTTGCATGATCTACACATCCATGTATAGAGTTACTCATTTTGAAATTGATTACTTCCTTCCTTTCTTTGGAAGATTCCCTCATCCTTTTTTTTTGTATCAAGATGGAGTAGTAGAAAGCCAAAAACTTTCTTTCCCAAAAATTAATCACTCCTAAAAATATAACCCCTTCAATTCAAATTCAAAACCCTTTGGTGTTTTTCCAAATCCGACTAATTCTTTTATCTCAGAAGAAATGAAACAATTTTAAAATTTCCTAAATTTCGTGAGAACAAGATTCAGGTTGGAGAATTGATGGTTACAATAGAATTGATTTGTTTTTTCAATCTTTCCTTTGACTGAGTGATGACTGCTTTTTCATTTCCTTCTTTTTTAATCCACTAAGTTGAAGATTAGCCAGGTTTTACAAAATTTCACATCTTTTAAGTGATTAAAATGAACATAAGTTGGTTATTATTGTTATTACTTCCGGAAGTGACTTCAAAATAATTTTTTGAAACAATGCTGCTTTACACCTTGAATCTCAACTTCTAGTAATGAAAAAATTAAGATTGTATCATCTCGCATGAATTGGTACAGAGTTGGATAAATACCCTTAACATGGATGATATATCATAAACCTTGGAAAGATTAGCTATTACCATCACACCACAAATGTTGTGTACTGATGAGGAGGAATACATGAGAAATTAGAATCTGTAATACAATATGAAAGATAAAATTTGCAGGATGTATACTACAATTCCATAATAGTAGGCACTAAATTCTCGGAAATATTGAATTAAAATGAAAACATTGTTGTCAAGGTTATGATTCTATATCTACTTTATCGTCATTTTTCCTCATCTGTTTGCTATAATTTCCGTACGCCACTGCAAGAGACAGATTAAGGCAAAAACGTTAGTCAGTTCCGAGATTTTAGTGCCTATTTTGGAATTATAGTATAGATACATGAATGATTCTGCTCGGGTCACAATTTTTCAATTTATTTTTTCATTAATAATTCTGCATGCGGCAAATTTAATCTTTCGTTTGATAAGGAGAAGTATTCATGTACAAAACTGTTATTCCTCGGATATATCTTTACTGCAGAATAAAAAAGAGCACTTGCAATAGTTGGAGGAACTATTGACGATGAGTTAGGGTTAGAAGCAATCGAGTCATGTGTCTTTTGAATTCAGTGTATTAATTTAAAAATTAACCACATTCAGCATTTTCATTTTTCCAAATGAAAATGGAAAAACCCGATGTATTTTCCTAAAGAACATGGACAATGGATGACATGTCCGCTATCTAAAGCTCATTTCAAAGAGTCTATCTGGCGCAATATATTTCTTCTATTGCTATCAGCTATAGTGCATCAAATTGTCAATATAACAATTTGAATGATTTGAAGATGAAAATAAAATAATGTATGAAATACATGGGACGGGAGTCTGATGGAATGACTTGGGTGATTTGCTTCACTCACTCAATCGACCGCTGTGTGAACCGGTGGTTCGAACCGCAAGGCCGAACAATCGACTTTCATTTCCTATCGTCCAACCCATGTTAGGAATTACACGTTAAAAGGTAAGACCTCGTTAGTCCTTAGCTAGTACAAGTTTCGACTTTTGAGAGTTGTCGTTCGTAGGAGGGCGACAGCTGATTAACGAAAAAACAGATTTCAACTCTCATTAATTTTTGCCGAACGATAATTTATTTGGAAATGAACTGGAGATTGTTTTTGTTGCCTTACTGTTATTGTTTAAAATATGCACCCTACGAACGACAACCCTCAGAAGTCGAAACTTGTGTGAGCTAAGGACTAACGTGGTCTTACCTGTTAACATGTGATTCCTAACACAAGCACCCAAGCAAAATATAACTTCTGAATTTAATCAAAATAAGTATGAAAAAACTAACACCTTGTCAAGACATTTTTATTCATTAAACATTTCACCTATATGAAATATATTTGTCAATGAAATGAATATTTCCTCTTTTCTTTCTATTGGAAATCATCGAGGATATGACATCCATGATGTCATTTTGAGTGTTTTTCAAGTAATATTATTTCAGGAAATTATAAGTCTTTTGGAAATATGTTATTAAATCAGTCAATTCATATTTACAGAGTTAAATTTGATTGTGTTTTCGCATTGAACTAAGAAACAGAAACATCTATCAAAGTGTTAATTTTGAAACAGTATATTTTAAATAGAAAGTTTCATTTACCTGCTTGAACAGCCCTGATTAAGAAAATAGAGATCCTTGACCAACAAACTGAAGAAAGGGATAACTATTCTCTGTCTCTGATCAGTTGCTCCTTCACTCCTCCACATAGCAGCCTTGAGTGTGCTTCGGTAGCTGCTGAAGTTACTAGTAGGATCCATCTGATGTTCTAATATAGCGAATTTACCTGAGTGAATTTTGCTCCACTGCAATATGATAGAAAGTTACAAATGGACATTACTCAAAAAGCTTTACTAATTACCGTCTTTTTCAACCTAGAAATTGGGGACATATTCAATCCAGCTATGATCGCCATTAGACTATTGAAATTGCCAATGTTGAAGCATTCCCTTCCAGTTTCTATCCAAAATTCTACTACTCGAACTCTCATTTTTTTCTTTTGGTACTGAAATGAGAAAACGAAATTTTATTTAAATTCTAAACTTGACAATAACTAAAATTGAAAATCTTCATAGAGTTGATTATTTGGGAAAGAAAGGTTTTGGCTTTTTCATCTTCAAACGAAAAATCTGTGGGAATCTTCCTAAGCCAAAACCTTTGTTTCCTGAAAATAATTTTCTCCTAAAAATCAACCCCTTTCAATTTTTCAATGAATTCTTTCAACTTTTCTATTCTACAATTTTTTTAGCAAGTTTTTTTCACCTTGAATTGAATTGTTAGATTGAATATATCTATATCATGTGCAACACCTGCATTTACCTTATTGTAATAATTTATTTTATTTTTGTCATTAACAATTATAATTACTATTACATTAAAGTGCTTGATTACAAAATTGTGTTCATTGTGAATACGGTGCTGGAACATTTTTCTCAGAGAGGCTCAAAATGGATGATAGCCATTTCACAGCCAAACGAATCCGTGAAAATGTCTGCATTTTTGATGCAGAACTGACATTTTTCAGGGAAAAAGTGTATTTGTAGTAAGTTGGTAGTCCTGATCATGAATCTGAAGGAATTCTGAGCCAATTTTACACACTAGTATGTTTTACCGTAAAAATGGATTGTTCCTTCGCGAGTAGCGATAATAGTTTCATAAGAAGTTTCATCATTCCAACTCGATTATTATGGAAGATACAGGAATGTTTCCATGAGAAGTTTTGCCTAAGTCTCATTTGTCATCCTCTTGTGATGTCTGGAGTTTTACAACTAGACTAATTCAGGGAAGTTTGTGTCTTAATTTATAGGGATGGATGTTAATGGATGATAACCGAAGAGGGTCAGTAAAAAAATTACATGTTAGTTATCGATACCAACTTTTTAAAATGTTTTTTTTATTATTAAAAAATGCTATAATTCAACAAAAAAAGAACCAACAAATTCAAAAACGGTTAGAAAACTCATTGAAAGAATATTTGGTTGTATTGTAGTATTTGACAAACAATGAGTTTTCTTAATTTGAAATCTGTAAAATTGAACCACAAACTGAATGAGAAAAAGTATTCAATGTTCATATAAAAGTAGTTGTTTCGAAACTATTTTTTCTTTCATGTAATTCAATGTTTATATGAAAGAAGTTGTTTCAAGGGTTCACTTTTTTTTTTATAAAGATGGAGAAGTAAAAAGCCAAAATTTTTCATTCTCTATATTTTATAAACTTAAATTATAATCCCTGATATTCTGGAACTCGTAATGCAGATTTATTCTAATTTCAGTAATTTTCAAGATGATTTTGTTCTCACCTTACACACTTGAGTTGCTACGAAGTAGCTCAGCCTGTTGAACCATTGGACGTACTGTTCCAAATTATGAGTTTTCTTCATGTCCTTGAAAGAAGTCTCTAAATTGGGATTCTCCTTAGCAAAAGCCTGTACGAATTCCTCAGGGCCAATAAAGGAAAGCCTTTCCAATTCAACGTGGGTGAGTTGTTGGGCAAGAATCGCGGGGTTTGGGCATATCTCCGAAATGTCCGTGAAGTTTTCATCTACAGATATTGAGTGGTTCTCCAAAGATTTTTCGTAGGCCTCCAAAGCAGTCAGTCGAGGGTGAAGATTGTGGAGAAGAGAGGAGACATTAGTTCTGATGGAAGAATTGATGGCACAACATTGTTGGGTGATTTTTCTTACGTGCTCCATCATTCTCTCGTCCCTGAAAACATATTAAGATACTACATTTAATCCTTTATTTTCAAATATATTCTTGTATTTGAAATTATAGCAGAGTAATAATGAAAAAATCGTCTAAGACTAGTATAAAAAACCATACAAGTATATGTCATCCACAACGAAAATTTAGGTTTTGTGTATGTTTTCTTGAAAATGAAAACTTGTATGTGAAGGCTACGATATCTCACTTTATGAAAACGCCATGTATTGGATCCAAGGAAGACTCAATTTACGAATGTTGAAGATAAACGAGGCTACGAAGGTGGCCCCTTGTAAAGTTGAGCATCGACATCAACCGCCGACAAGATTTGTGCTCTGCCTTTGACTGCTGTTTTCACAGCAAGATGAAACTAGAACCCACAGGCAAAAGCATCCGTGTTTCAACATAAGACAGCGCTGTGTCAATACACCAAGGACTCATCAATGGTGTTGAACTTCACCACAAATACATTGCTGGACTTAAAGGACAAGTCTGAGTTATTGAAGGCCAAAACAGCTGCCCTTCTATAGGGGACTATGGGGGAGCCCTAGCTTCCCATTATAGCCAAGTAAATCGAGAATGTTTCGGGCTCGACTCTTCACGTCGTAAAACTTTCCGAGTTAACGGTTGAACACCAAATATGCCAACAGCATTTCACTTGATGATCAAGTTTTGATCCAGCCATATACAAAAATTCGTCCTCTCCATTCATTGTCATTGAATGGAGAGGACGAATTTTTGTAAGTCTTTGACGATTAAACTCCTTGCTAAGGCATTATTTCTGACTGGTTTGAAAATATTTCTTTATTCATCGGGTACTGAAGCCATTAATACCACTAACACATCAAATGTCATTAAATGTCAAATTGTAGTACAATTGAATAATATACAACTTTTTGCTTAACTCCAATCAATATTATTTTCAGTCAGAGGAAACTAATGACATTATTTTTATTTTTACTGTTAACTAAAAATGTTTCATTAGTTTTCTTTAGAGGTATGTATCATTACGATTATGTAGCTAGTTTCACAATTGGTTTCACAACTTGTTTGATATAATTTGACTAATTTTTAATTGTAAAAGTATTTATACAATGTATTAATGGCTATTTTAAAGGGGAACTTTTCCATCGACAGAAAAATCAGTGGTCTTATATTTTCAATTGTAAAAGGTTAAATACAAAAAATATGTGCATAAAAATATACTTAGAGTGTAAAAAATATTTTACCTGAAGTCGTAAGGAAAAGTTTCAGTCCATTCGGCCAATAACTGGACCAGATGCTCTGCAAATCGGGCTTGGCCTGTATTGGAACTCACAGTTGTTTTTCCTCCTAACCCCTGTTGGGTCTCACAGAGATTCCGAACTTTGGCAAGGAGGTCGTGTGGTTTGATGAAAAGTCGCGAAGACAACAGGAATGCAAATAAGTAAGCTCTATCAGGATAATAGACGTCAGTCGGTACCATATGCTGGATAAGCGCTTCCAAAGGACCAGAGATCAAGTTACCGTCCCTATATACTAGCGCCTGTAAATTCAAAACATTGTTAAACCGTTCAAAACTGTACGTAGTGGTATATTGGTGTTTTTCAAAGATCGATTTTAATCTGAAACTGGACCCAGAATTTCGAGTGAAAATTCGCGTTTTCAACTCCTCATGAGTGATATTTTAGATGGTTTAAATGTCGATTCACTTGAATTCCTTTGTTTTTCGAATATCTGACGTTGTTTGTTTGTTCCTTATTTCTTCAAGTATCCTCTAATAAACCAGTCCGTGAGAAGCATGACGAAATCTTCGTGAATAATATATACAAATAAGAATAAAGTTTTGTCGTTCAAATCCAACATCAAAAATGCATTATTTAGAAATGTCGACATCTCAGAAACTATGATTTGTTTTTGTGATCTGACAACGCCCCTTTCATTTTTGAAATACATGGGTCTGATATACGATGAACAATAAATTCATTCATTTTTTGAGCTTCAGAAGGAAACTGCAATACTTATTTTGAGCCGATCACCGTTTGTTGAAGCAGTTCTTCACTTATTTTCTCGAAGGATCCCTTCATAAACGTTTTGCCATGTGTGTTCCCGGATGCCTTTTTACGGTACTCTTTATTTTCCTCATTAACCCGTTGATCTGGTCTCATCCATATATTTTGGTATCCACATAGCTGGTTAAGTTCCTATTTATCAGCCGTAATCTGCATCGGTGTCTAGTACTGTCATCCGCTTTTTCGTTGCCAATGATTCCGGAGTGTCGTAGCAACCAATATAGAGTCAATCTATTTCTACAGATCTTCACCGTAGTCCCAGGCCAGTTAGATATTACTTCTGGGTTCATCAATGAACCGAGTGCAGCTTGGTTGTATGTAATAATATTCATCCAATCACTCCATTGAGACCTCAAATTTTTATTTATTGTGAACTTCAAGAATCCGTGCCCTACCAACTGAAAGACCGATGTATATTGACTAAGCTACGAGCTATTAAATAAATGCCTACCCGCATAGTATATTACAGCCACAGACGAATATAGAATATTTCGAGGGAGACATCATGTTTCAGTGGATTTCCATTTTGTTTCGGCGGAAACTCAAAATAATTTTTTCAATATATCATATTATGGGTTAACCACATTTTTGAAATTATCTACTCAATTATAGACTCGAATGATTCATTTAATTGACAATGACTCAGAAAAAAATATATTTTGAAATATCATTTTGAAATATCTTATTTTTAGCCTAGTTTATTGATAGCAGTCCCTTATCCTTATTTAATCTTTGGCCACCAAAGGCAAATTCAGATTAGTTAAATTTACACAATACGGAATATTTCACTATGAATACGAGGTCTGTACAAAAAATAAGGTGAATGTTCAAATTTTGCGGACTGCGTATATGCGATTCGCGATTTTTTTATTTTTATATGTCGGTACCACTCGTCTCGAACATATGTTCATCGTTTCAGGTGTTCAGTTTGTTGGCTAGAGGCATGTTTTGCGTGTTCGACGATTTTCTGCTATCGAAATAAATGGATCAAAGAATTTGCATCAAATTTTGTGTCAAAATGAAATCAAGTGCTCGAAAACACTTGAAATGATGACAGTGACATACGATGATTGTACTACGAGTCCAAGCATCACGATAATGTACCTGCTCACTCGTCATTGCTTGTTCTTAATTTCTATGCCAAAAACAACATCGTAATCATGCCTCAGCCATCGTATTTGCCAGTTTTGACCCCCTGCAACTTTTTTTCTGTTCCCAAGATTGAAGAAACCCATCAAATGACGGCGTCTTGCGAGGAGGACACACCAAAAAGTGCATATCAGAACTGCTTCGAGGAATGGAAAAAATGATGGCACCAGTGTATTATATCTGAGGGGGGCTACTTTGAAGAGGACAAAATAGAAATTGATGAACATACTTTTTATGAGAAAAATGAAAATTCACCTTATTTTTTGAACAGACCTCGTATTATGTGTCATAATTATATCACGAGATTATTTTAGTACTTCACAAAACAAACTGTGAATTGACCTCTTTGTGATCATACACTTTTAATCCCTAAGGTATGTTTTGTTCAAAAAAGTACTCTCCTATCGTTTTCGATTCCCAAAAATTTTGATTGTCTGGTTTCTCAGAAAAATTCGTTGAAGTTAGTTACTACACTGTCACAAATTCAGTAAGGCACTAAAATTATATGAGTGTTACAGGGATTTTTGAACAATGTTCTGAACTCACTTTTGGGTGTTCGCAAAAAATGTATGCACAAATCAACCAATGTTGTAAAAGAAAAACTAGACAAAATCACAGGTTTCTCGTTCCGAACGCAAAGGTAGGTACTTGCTGATGCTTCTTTATAAAAACTCAAATATGAATTCTTGAATTTGACAAATGAAAAAGACATTTCTTGGTGGTTGAAAATTTTTCAGTGCTTCATCTGGATTCATAAGTAATTGAAATTAATAGAAAATAAAGGGAACAATCTAAATGATGTTAATAGGGAAGACGCATGTATTTTCTATTCTTTCAATAAAACGATATGAACCTCAGAAATTTCAAACAGTGAAATGAAAGAGATATTGGAGATATTTCAACGCTTTTTTATTTAAAATATTGAGAATAGTCTACTATGAAAACGCAATTTGACATTTTGCATTATGAAGAAATTCAAGTTTCATTTTTTATTCAGAATATTTCAAAACTGCGACATATGCATGTTTCCCATCAACAAAACCTCCCAATATTCTAAAAACACCTCGTATACCCTACACCAAGGCTGACATTGCGAATTGCTTTTACATCGCTAATTAATTTGTTAAACTGCAATCAAGCTCAACGATGCAACCCGGCGGAATCGCAATCTCAACCAATTATGTTACACAAACGACCAACAAAACCACATCTTACGTTATCTTGTTGCAAGCCAGACTCTGCAGAACCCTCCTGGTTGGCTTCACCATTAAAAATGGACGAAAAACTCTTGGTCTGCGGTGTCTGTGGCAAGCTCTGAAGTGCAAATTAATAACTGTTAGTAATCATTACTGTACAAAGTATCGACTATAGGTGTAATGTATGAGGTTAATGTTACGCAAAATTTTTAACAAGGATGGGATAATCATTCGTAAGTACAAGCCACCAATTGCTCTAAGTGAATGAATATACATTAGATGCGGGAAGTTTATTCAGACAGAGCCGGACTATCTGCATTGTTATTTCTAAAATGAATATAAATCAAATCGATTTCCCAAATATTTCTCTTTATGTTCAAATTGACACGAGTGGACGACACATTTTTTGGATATTCTATTTATATAAAAGGGGGACTGTGATAATTTTGGAATCCAATCATTTTTTTTGTGTCATCTACTACTAAGATAATTAGCCTCATGTTCTGGGTATGTACGTTAACCGAAACACCTAAGAAGCATCATGGCTATTCACAGATCCGTTAGCTCTGTAACTTAACAAAATCAAGCCACATTTAATTAGACATGTTTTTGAGAAGGGTGATTAGAACCAGATAGTGATCCGGACAGACTACCACTTGCACCAATACATTACTTATAGATATAACGTGACCTCCAAAAAAATGTATCAACTTTTATCAGTTGGTAGTGAGTATATCGTGCATATGAAATGCTCAAAACAATTCTAGACATTTGAATTGAAAGGGTTATATTTTTAGGAGTGATTATTTTTTGGGAAAGAAAGTTTTTGGCTTTCTACTACTCCATCTGATACAAAAAAAAGGGATGAGAGAATCTTCCAAAGAAAG